ATGCCGTATGTATACCAGATCTAATTCAGTTAGCCTCACAAACTCCGTTTTCTCTTATAATACCTCTGACATTTTCATAGCGAGAATGCGCAACCACTCCCAACCACAATCCTCCTCCCTCCGCCATCCACGTAATAACATATTTTATTCATTCTAGAGTGTATATCAGGTTTCTATGTTATTTATATTGTTTATGTCATATTAAATGAATTGTGACATAATGCCTCCAAGAGCAGGAATTCAGCTGGAATGAATTAATTGCATTTCAATTAATTTAACCCTTAAATGGTCCAAATAGATCGACGTTCAAATCCGTAGTGCTCCAAAAGTAGATCTATGTTTTTTTTAAATATTTTCAAATATAACAAAAAAAGTAGATAAAAGTTTTTTTACACATTTTCAAATGTAAAAAAAAAAAGATGTACACTTTTTTACATACTTTCAAATATTGAAAAAACGTATATATACGTTTGGACCGTTTAAGGGTTAAACGAGGAAAATTGCCCCAGCATACTAACAAATCAGGATACGAACAAGTCCACGGAATGAATTAAATTCGTAACCTGAGGTTCCACTGTATGTCTTCAATAAAGGTAAGTGTCATTTTATTAATTATTAATGCATTTATTCTGCATTTATTCTAACTTACCACTGCTCTCTAAAATCTCTGAAAAATTAATTCGTAGACGGATCTATTCCTACCTCGTTTCACACAACATATTAAACCCTTGTCAGTTTGGATTCAGGAATAATAAAAGCACAACTGATGCTATCATGCACATGCTAGAACTAATATATACTGCACTTGAAAAGAAAGAAGTCCCGCTGGGCATTTTCATTGATTTAAGTAAAGCTTTCGATACAGTCGACCGTGAACTGCTGTACTCCAAATTAATGCACTATGGTATCAGAGGCCACTCCCTCAACTACCTAAAATCATACCTTAGTAACAGAACTCAATACGTGTATGCAAATGATGCACACTCTTCCTCCCAACCAATCTACAGTAGGAGTCCCATAAGGAAGCGTACTTGGACCACTCCTCATTCTCATCTACATCAATGATCTACTGAATGCATCACAGCTACTCAAACCCATATTATTTGCAGATGACACTACATATGTCTTTTCCCACTTTTCCCACAGTCATACTAGCAAACACAGTCAATGCTGAATTACAGAAAATATCTGCCTGGATGATGACTAACAAACTTACCCTGAACACTGATAAAACCTATTTCATTCAGTTTGGAAACAAAGTTGCAAATGATCCAATTAACATAACACTAAATGGATCATCAGTCACAAGACTCACAGAGGGAAAATTCCTAGGTATCCACCTTGAAGGCAGCCTTAAGTTCCGGACACACATACAACAAATCACCAAGAAAATCTCCAAGACTGTAGGCATACTATCAAAGATAAGGTACTATGTTCCACAATCAGCTCTCCTGGCACTGTACCATTCACTCATATACCCTTATCTTACATATGGAATTTGTGCATGGGGATCAACAACATCCAATCACCTAAAACCCCTAATAACCCAGCAAAAGGCAGCAGTAAAAATGATAACAAATTCCCACTCCCAACAGCATACTCCACCAATTTTCAAAAGTCTGAATCTGCTCACCATTAAGAACATCCATACTTATTCATGTGCCTACTACATACACAGAACAATACACGCAAATATAAACCCTCCACTCAAACTTCTCCTCACCAACTTAAACAGGACACATGACCACAACACAAGACACAGATCTCTTTTTGATATACCTCGTGTCCATATCACACTGTGTAAAAACTCTATGTACATAAAGGGCCCCAAAATATGGAATTCATTACCAGAAGATATTAAAGTAACCTAATCTGAAAATCAATTTAAGACTCTTCTCAAAAGCCAATTGATCACCCTAAACTAAATGCTAAATACTCAGTACACACTTACTCACCTATGTACTCCCACATCATAACTGAAACAATCACTTTGAACCTTTTATCCATTGTTGACAGGAATATAATTGAATCATTGTTTTCACAAAAAGCATTTTTGAATATAAATATGTCTTTATCTTATACAAATTTTGATTCATTTATAATTAATATTCTACTGTACAACTATGAAATAATTACTATCCTACTGTACAACTATGATATACTCCTTAGTGTTAAGTAGACTGTAAGCCAATAATGTTAAGTTGGCCCATAATGCCTAGGCATAATAGAGGCTCTCTTTGCATTGCAACCCACTATTGTAAATACAAAATCTTAATATACTGTTTGCAAAGACAAAATAAAATAAATGCCTCATGGTTTTCTGCATAGGGAAATGTATATTTCATGTAAAAAAATTATTTTAATACTTTTGGGTGTCTGGAACTGATTAATTGGATTTCCATATTTCTTATGGGGAAAATTAATTCGGATAATGACAGAATCTGTTAAAGACATGCTCTCTGGAATGGATTAATGTTGTTAACTGAGGGTCCACGGTACTGTACAGTGGACCCTCGGTTATCAGCCATAATCCGTTCCAGAAGCTCGGCCTAAGACCGAAATGGCCGAAAACTGAAATAATATTTCCCATAAGAATTAATGGAAATACAATTAATCCGTTCCAGACAAAAATATTCACAAAAGAATCATTTTTTTTAACAGTTATGTAAGTATTACATACCTTTATTGAAGGCTAATGCTGGCTTCTGGAAGATAAGGAGGAGGAAAGAGGGAGGAATTAATGTTTGGAAGGGGAATCCCCCTCCATAAAGACTTTAGGTAGCAAAGCCTTCTCTGGGGTTACTTCCCTTCTTTGTCTTTAATGCCACTAGGATCAGCTTTAGAGTCACTGGACCCCTTCCGCACAACAAATTTGTCCATAGAGGTCTGTTACTGGCATCTCTTTAAGATTTCCCTGAAGTGGGACAGAACGAACCTAGCTCCTCCAATGTTGTTGGGGTTATGTAGGGCGACTGACAACACCGCCGTCTCTACCGCCTCTGCTGCCACCTCCACCACCACTATGTATGGCTTATGCTCTCATTGGCCCTTATACACCCAACAACAACAACACAGCAACACTCGTGACATACTTAATGACGTATTTTATTCATTCTAGAGTATATGTCATGTTTCTATGTTATTAATATTGTTTATTATGTCATATTAGATTAATTGTGCTAGATAAATAAGCTGTAGAGCTGATATTAGTGTCATATTGAAGGACTATCTTGTGTCTCCCAACACAATTCCTAACATACGCCAGAAACAGACCTCTCTGGAAAACTTTTTTGAGCGACAGGGGTCCAGTGGCTCTCAAGCTGGTCCTAGTGGCATTAAAAAACAAAGGAGGAAAGTAACCCAAGATAAGGACTTGGTACCTGAAGTCTTTATGGAGTGGGATTCCCCTTCCAAACAATTGTAAACTTCTCCATGCTCTCCCCTCCTCCCGTCTTCCATACATCACCATGTCTTCAATAAAGGTAAGTGTGATATTATTGTTTTATTCTTCATGTATCACTATACAGTGGACCCCTGCTTAACGATCACCTCCCAATGCGACCAATTATGTAAGTGTATTTATGTAAGTGCGTTTGTACGTGTATGTTTGGGGGTCTGAAATGGACTAATCTACTTCACAATATTCCTTATGGGAACAAATTCGGTCAGTACTGGCACCTGAACATACTTCTGGAATGAAAAAATATCGTTAACCGGGGGTCCACTGTATTCTGTGTAGGGAAATGTCTATTTCACGTAAAAAAAAAATTATTTCGTTTAATACTTTTGGGTGTCTGGAACGGATTAATTGGATTTCCATTACAGTGGAACCTCAAAAATCGAACTTAATCCGTTCCAGGAGCTAGTTCTAATTTCGAAAAGTCTGAAATTCGAATCAATATTTCCCATAAGAAATAATGGAAATACAATTAATCCGTTCCAGAAACCCAAAAATATTCACACAAAAAATACATTTTATAGAGATTAATTACAGTTTTACATACATATAAAATAACATACATATAAAATAATACATACATATAATATAAAATATAAAATAACATTTTTACTTACCCTTATTGAAGATTGGTGATGGCATCTGGAAGATAGGGAGGAGGAGAGAGGGAGTTGGGGTTAGTGTTTGGAAGGAGAATCCCCCTCCATGAGGACTTCAGGTAAAGCCCTCTCTGAGGTTACTTCCCTTCTCTGTCTTTTAATGCCACTAGGACCAACTTGAGAGTCACTGGACCCCTTTCTCACAAAATAACTGTCCACAGTCCTCTTTTTCTGGCGCCTCTTTAACATTTCCCTAAAATGGGACATGGTTCTGTCACTGAACTTGTTGCTTGTGGCAAGCTTAACAAGTCTCACACCACTCTCATACTTCTGTATTATTTCCTTCTTCACATCTATGGTGTTTCTCACTTTCTTTACCACGGGGGTACCACTAGCAAGTTTCTTTGGGCCCATGGCAGCTTATTTCACAGTCCCACAAGCACTAAACACAACGAAATAATCGTAAAATGTGTGAATGAGAGGGCAGGTTAGTGTTCACTCAAGCATAAACAAAGCTAGACTGCTCACGGCACCTGCGTGGGGACGCGGACAGGTCCCGTACCCAGCGGTCCGAAATTTGAAACGCGTTCGATTTTTGGTACACAGTTTGTCCGAAAAAATGGTCTTATTTTCGAAACGTTCGATATTTGGTACGTTCGATTTTCAAGGTTCCACTGTATTTCTTATGGGGAAAATTAATTTGGATAACAATAAAATCGGTTAAGGACAAGCTCTCTGGAACAGATTAATATCATTAACTGAGGGTCCACTGTAGTTATGTCTCGCCTAAATACACATACATAATTATGTTCTGTTTACCAAGGTATATACACCATCTCTAACCAGTTCCTCACAATATTAGCTTACACAGTAATCCAAATAATACCTTACTCTCATTAATTTTGCATAAACAAGATATAACTAATTTGTATTTACTTCTGCAGAAGATTGCCTTAGAAGTTAAAGTGGTGGAGGAAGTTAAGAAATGGTTAGACCCTTACTATCGCGACAAGTCCGTAAACAAGGAAGAGTACAAGCAGATTGTTGCTAAGTGTGTTAAAAAGGTATGTAACCTCCTCTAAAAATGTTCTTAAAATCTGTATATAAAGTTTCATATTATTACTGCACATGATAATATTTATTACTGCCAAGGTTTGTAGATGTGCACATAGATATGTATTAGATTGAAGTGAATGGAGACAAATGATTTTTAGGATTTGACTTGTGTTGGAGTATGAGTATGGCAACATCTATGAAGGAATTCAGGAAAACATGTTAATTGGACCTCAGTTTGGAAATAGGAAGTATAGTGTCTGCACTCTGAAGGATGCATAAAGATGCTACTGTTCAGTGTGTCATTGGAATTGTGATGTCTTTAAAACTTCTGGAAAGACAGCTAGAGAATAAGTGATGGTGAATGTTTTTCCATTTTTGGGTCACCTACCTTGGTGAGAAATGACAGGTATGTCAAAAATTTCTGTCTCTTAGGAACCAGCTGAGTTATATGTGTGTGCAGAGCTTTTTCCTACATATAACAAGCAAAAGTCACATGTTTTATGTAAATGAATGACTATGAGCCAACAGATATTATTAACCCTTAACCTTTTCACTGTCTGTCACTACACAATTTTCTTGTTTAAAAACTTTTTTTGCACTTCATTATCACGCACAAACGTGTTCAACTATTGTAGAAATACAACTGGAATAGTTACATGACTGTTAAAGGCATGAGAATGTTGTAATTATGATAATGTTCCCCTACATATCTGAAAACTTAATATTTTTGAAAACGTCAGGGTTTCATGCTTCTTTTTCTTGTTTGTGTCCAGCATCACTAGTATTCCTTTTATGTGGCATGGTTAATATTCAGGGACAAGATGGGTTGATAAAAATATCCAGAATCATTCAGTAAATACAGAGACACTACACATGTGACATTTCCAAGCATGACAACAAAGGGTGATGATCAGCCTCTCCCAAAACACTGGACTCTCTCCATACTTGGCACATATGACTGGTCACTTTTTCTCATGCAGTTAGATCTTGGTTTCTGTTTTAATAGCATTTTGTTGAAATAGCACTCACCAAACAAGGTAAATGAGAATATTTTATTTAATTAATTTGAACTGAGAGTCATAACATCATGTAGGAGTGAGGATGTGTCGAATGTGAGTATGGGCAAAGTGCATGAGGCAGTGAACAAAATGAAAGTGAGTAAAGCAGTTGGAATAGATGGGATCAAGGAAGACGTGTTTAAAACACATGGGGACGTACAGTAGACCATCATTTAACATGTGTTCCTTTACCACGTTTTTTCCATTACACTATTGCAAAATTGTGGCATATTTTCGACTAACACAGTGCCACTTCTGGGGAGGAAATTTGGAGCATCGCAAGCTGGACCATGGGATTTTTCCATCCATCTAGTGGGCTTGTGGGCAGCCTGCCTATGGGTCAGTCTGTTGTCTGTGGGGGAGACCTAGCTTCTTCCCCTGCCACCCCCATCCCACCTCTCATTGGTCCATAAATGTGTGTCCCATACAACTCTCATATCTGTGTTTGTGATTAAATTAGTTGATTTCTGCATACCAGTCAATACAAGCAGTACGGTGGTACCTCGAGTTACAAACTTAATTCGTTCCAGAAGGCTGTTCGAGTGTCTATACCAAATGAATTTGTTCCCATAAGGAATAATGTAAATTAGATTAGTCCCCAAAAATGCACTTACAAAAATACACTTACATAATTGTTCGAGTTGGGAGTTGTTCGAAACTCGAGGTACCACTGTATTTTCGTATAAATAAGCCCCACTGACTTTTTTGGGGGTTATCCCAGGTAATTTACACTATGTATGATAATTGTACTTATGTGTACCTGTGCCTAAATAAACTTACTGTGCTCAAATGTGAACATGCTGGAGACAGTGTTTATATACAAATTGAGAGGGTTGACGTGAACAGCACCTGTCCATGTGAGGGGCCTTCCCAGTGTTTATATAACCTCTGCTCATCTTCCTTTGCATAATAAAAGTTAAAAGATAAAAGGAACCTGAATGTAATGTGTATACAACACCTACTTCATATGTATTTGTGCATCAGTTTAGTTGGTACACTGGTATATTGTTTGTTTTAGGATGTGTGTGAGAGTTTGTTGTTGTTGGGGGTTGAGGGCTAACATCCAATGAGCATCCCACCCACCCACCCACAGTTCCTTAAACTGATATTTTTATTATTGAAAATGCCAGAAAAATTATAAAACACCAGTCTATGTATACAAATGGCGTTACCTCCGATGCCAGAAACAGGGCACTCTGGACAGTTATTTTGTGAGATGGGTCCAGTGTCTCTCAAGCTGGTCCTCGTGGCATTAAAAGACCAAGAAGGGAAGTAACCACGGATAAGGTCTTGGTACCTGAAGTCCTTATGGAGGGGAATTACTCATCCAAACACTAAGCCCTCCCTCTATCCTCCTCCCTATCTTCCAGAAGCCAGCATTAGTCTTCAATAAAGGGATGTAATATTTATATAATTGTTGATAAATTAAACATATGTGCAACTCTTGGGTATCTTTATTGAGGAAACGTTTCGCCACACAGTGGCTTCATCAGTCCATACAAAGGAGAATCGTGAAGAACAGGAGGAGAATGAGGTAATCAGTCCCTCAACCTTGAGTCGATGTGGTCAGTCCATCAATCTTGAATAGAATACAGCATATGTGCAGTGAAGTCGCTTATATACTGTAGGCAGGAGAGGTGCAGCAGATGTAGGTGGTGCCACATTTGTTCAATGTGGAAGTAGGTCGTGCCCAAGGGTTAGGCAAGCGAAGAATTCCCAAGTATTAAGATCCCAAGAAGTTGCTGTGTCTGACAGGATTGTAGATGAATGGTTCAGAGAACCGACACGTTGATAAATTAGACACATGTGCAACTCTTGGGTATCTTTATTGAGGAAACGTTTCACCACACAGTGGCTTCATCAGTCCATACAAAGGAGAATCATGAAGAACAGGAGGAGAATGAGGTAATCAGTCCCTCAACCTTGAGTCGATGTGGTCAGTCCATCAATCTTGAATAGAATACAGCATATGTGCGGAGAAGTCACTTATATACAATAGGCAGGAGAGGTGCAGCATATGTAGGTGGTGTCACATTTGTTCAGTGTGGAAGTAGGTCGTGCCCAAGGGCTAGGCAAGCGAAGAATTCCCAATCCTGTCAGACACTGCAACTTCTTGGGATCTTTATACTTGGGAATTCTTCGCTTGCCTAACCCTTGGGCATGACCTACTTCCACATTGAACAAATGTGACACCACCTACGTCTGCTGCATCTCTCCTGCCTACGGTATATAAGCAACTTCTCCGCACATATGCTGTATTCTATTCAAGATTGATGGACTGACCACATCGACTCAAGGTTGAGGGACTGATTACCTCATTCTCCTCCCGTTCTTCACGATTCTCCTTTGTATGGACTGATGAAGCCACTGTGTGGCGAAACGTTTCCTCAATAAAGATACCCAAGAGTTGCAAGTGTGTCTAATTTATCAACATGGCGGTTCTCTGAACCATTCATCCACAATCCTATATAATTGTTAAAAAAAAATAATTTTTTGTGTGAATATTTTTGTCTGGAACAGATTAATTGTATTTCTATTAATTCTTATGGGAAATATTATTTCGGTTTTTGGCCATTTCAGTTTTCGGCCGACCTTCTGGAATGGATTACGGCCAATAATCGAGGGTCCACTGTACTCCAATATAAACCCTCTTCTCAAGCTCCTCTTTAACCCTTTCAGGGTTTCTGACGTACTAGTACAGCTTACGCACCAGGGTTTTTGACATACTAGTACGACTTACGCACCAAGGTTTTTGACGTACTAGTACACCTAAATTCTAGCGCCCTCAAATCTAGTGAGAGAAGGCTGGTAGGCCTACACATGAAAGAATGGGTCTATGTGGTCAGTGTGCGCAGCATAAAAAAATCCTGCAGCACACAGTGCGTAATGAGAAAAAAAAAACTTTGACAGTGTTTTTGGTTTAACCCTTTCAGGGTCCATGCCGTAGATCTATGGCTTTACGTTGAGGGTCCAAACCGTAGATCTATGCCAAAATTCTAGCAGCGTCAAATTTAGCGCGAGAAGGCTGGTAGGCCTACATCTGAGAGAATGGGTCTGGGTGGTCAGTGTGCACACTATAGAAAAAATCTGGACACCCACATGGCATTGTGGGAACGCCGCCAAAGTAGCTTTGTTCATCGTCCCCCACTCACTCTCCGGGCGACTTCTGACTCTCCTCTTCACAACTTACAGTTCTAAGACTGATGGAAGTGGAGCTGAAGAGGAATTCTATGGTCTTGAACCATATGGTACCATTGTACCATATGGTACAATGGTACCATATGGTACATTTGTGCCATGTCATACAGTTGTATCATATGGTACAATGTGCCATATGGTACATTGTACCATATGGTACATTGTACCATATGGTACATTGTACCATATGGTACATTATACCATATGGTACATTATACCATATGGTACATTATACCATATGGTACATTGTACCATATAGTACAGGGTACAGGGACCCTAATGGATATAAGTCTGTCTGACTTTTTTGGGTTATCCTAGGTTCTCCAAATATATGTTGCTAAGTATGATATTCTATGTAACTTTATTTGTGTATACCTAAATAAACTTACTTACGATGCCACATGCACTTTAGTAAATTTATTCAGGTGTACAGAAATACAATTACATGGATTATTATTCATAGCAGCATATGTATAAAATCCTAGGATAACCCAAAAAAGTCAGGGTGACATATTTCCATAGGGATCCTTGTATCTGTACCATATGGTGTCCTGTACTGTATTGTACCCTGTGCCATATGGTACCCTGTACCATATGGTACCCTGTGCCATATGGTACCCTTTACTGTATGGTACCCTGTGCCATATGGTACCCTGTATCATATGGTACCCTGCACCATATGTTTTCCTGTACTGTATGGCACCCTATACCATATAGTACAATGTACCATATGGTACCCTGTAACATATGGT